TGGTGACTCTAGGCTTCTCTCTGCTTCTGTGGTCTTAATTAGCCCCTTTTTGTTCCACCACAATGAACTCCCTAGCCCCTCCACTTCTTTCTTCTTACCATTGTCCATTTAGACAACCATCTGGAGATGTCTTGTTTTCTCTGTTGACCTCTTAATCTATTTCTTAAACATCCAACAGATATGCAAGTTGGACCAATTCCAAATGGTTTTTAGAGCAGTGAGAGGGAGTTTTGTACTGACTAGCAAAAGACAACTTTACTATTTGTTTATTGCCAGGGTCAGAAGGTTAGCTCTTAGCTCACCAACCCAACTCTTGCAAGTGGTTTCCACTCAGGCCACCAGAGGTGTAGAGTTTCTGAAATACTTGGAAGACACAGATTCATTGGTTAGTTCCATTGTTGTGTCTGAGCTTTAGAGGAAACTTTTTAGGCAGAAGGGAATGGAAGGATCTCATTCTCCTCATTTGTTTGGGGGAGATGGGAATCCCATCTGCAAGCTTACTGATCAGGGCAGCACTTGACAGATGGTACATGCTTAATAATTACGTCCTGTCATTGGTTCCCTCTTTAACATAGGCACAGCAATCACGCCCATTTCAAGAGGGAATATCCTGATCATTTGGCCATCAGCTAGTGTTCTTGCTGAGATTGAGGCTGTGATTGCTGTGCAACCCACTGTGTGTCATATTTAAGGTGGAAGTTGTGACTTTTGCATTGGATTCCACTCAGCATCCAAGTTTTCCTGGAGAGGCTCTTGGCCTGTGAGTCCAAGATCTGCTTCCCTCCCTGGCCCTACACGAAAGTGGTTGTGTGGCCTTGGGCAATCACTCCTTCTTCCAGCCTCAGTTCCCTCCACTGTCAAAGAGGGGACTGGACAGGATGGCTGCTCAAGTTCCCGCCAATATTCTAGGAGTCTGTGACTCTGCTGTGGTCGCTTCCACAGCATCTCTCTCAATAGCCCTCCTTACAAGTACTCTGTTTAGAAAGCCCCATTTAACAGGAGGGAAAAGTGGAGCACAGAAAAGCGAAGGGTGCGCCCTGAGGTCTGACTATAGAAAGTTAGAAGTGGAGCCTGTACCACTCTTGCACCAGCTCAGGACCTGGAACTTGTCACATGATCACATTTGTCTCCAGCGACTCCATGGCAGAGAAGAGCTAATGACAATACATTTATTCTATTTCATGAAATCTAATTTTTATATAAAATGTCTGGATTAGAATGTGGTTTTTTTTTAGCATAAAAGGATGTTGTTGGCCTATTAGAGATAGTTTATATCATTCGCCAAAAGGTTTACATGGGGACAGACGTCCCCAGGTCTTAAGATGCTGCCTCAACTGAATAGCGTTCCTTTTAATCCCGTACTTGCATAATAAAACCAGTTAGCAGAGCAGCCAGTGTGTTTGCTCTGGGGGGCTATTCATCAAGGTTATAATGGAAGGAAGAGCACCTGGTAACACTGCAAAAGCGGACTTCATTTCCCTTTGTAATTACAACTGTAAAATAACTTCTAAAAACCCAAATTGCTATTGAGCACAAGATAAGGCAATTCTCAGTCTCCACCCCCATGAGTGACAGTCTCATTTCTGCTTAATTGAGCAGCAGTCAATTTCTTTTTGTAGCCAAGGTGGTAGCTTCAGCTTGTTGTCACTTGGTTATGATGGTGGGCACGAGGTGGCCTCATGTCAGCCTTGCTGGTGCTCATTTGGTGATTCTGCCGTCTGCCCATGCAGACTGGGGCGGCAAACAGTGCTCCTAGTGAGTGCTACTGTAACTTGTAATTTATTAAGGAAAGCAGATAATCATCACAGAGGGCAGCTGCGTGACACAGTACCTGCTCTAACAGTGGTCAATTACAAACAGCAAGAATTCCATAAATGGTCTCTCTTAGGTTGAAACAAATAGATTGAAATTTTTTTCACTTACTGAAAAATCTCAGCATTAAATTTAATCAACATCAGCATATGACATGACTAGGTTGGATAATTTTTGGCCTCCACACTGACTATAAAATGCTGTCAATTACCCTCCTACATTCTCTCTCGTTTTGTTTTTCAGAAAAAGGCTATTACTACAGAAATAAGTGATTGTAGTCTAAGGGACAGCAGCTGTTTAATTTCTGCTCTAATTTTAAAATCCTGGCCATATTGCCATTTAAAAAATCAAATTTGGAGTTAACCATATGTAAAAACATTTAAGCTGAAAACAAAACATTTATGTATATGTTTCTTAAATAAAATACAATGCCCTATTTCTAAATGTTTATTATAATCTTGCATCCCAGCTTCATCACGTTCCAGCTATATGTCCTTGGGCAAGCTCCTTAGCCTTGCGATAACTCAGTTTCTTTACCTGTAAGGTGGCAGTAACAGCTCCTGTCTCACAGGGTGCTTGGAGAATCAGGTAAGATATACATGAAAAGTGCATAGGACAGTACCTGACAGAGAGTAAGTGCTCTATTACATGTTTTCTATTCTTATTCTTATTATTTACATTTTCTGCTCATTAAAAACTCTTAATTACAATGATTAAATCATGTGATGCCCAGGAGTATAAATATATTCTTTAGTGCTTCCTAACCTGGTTTAGCACATAATAGAATCTTTAGGCTGCAGAATGCTCCTCTGAGGAGCCTGAGGAAAGAAATGGACAGAGGAGAGGCCAGTGATTCCCAGGGAATGTGGTGGTGGGGATTGAAGACAGGGATAGGACTGGCCACCTTCATCAGTTTAGGCTTTGTCTTGGCAAAGTGCAGGTGCATGCCATCCTCTAACCCTAGATGGAAGGGAAAAAGGGTTTAGAAAGTAAAAACTGTTGGAGGGAGCGGGGAAGGCTGAAGGGGCTTGTATAGAATAGTCTTAGTCTGACTGGGAGAGGACTGTATCCAGGGTACACATGAGAATAACCCAGGCCAGTCTCCACCCCATTAGGACCCACTGAGACCCAGGCACCTGGATTTTTCAGGCACCCTGGGGGTGATTCCAATGTGCAGCCAGGGTTGAGAACCACTGCCCTAAAGAGTAGGTGAAGAGGTAGAGGAGGGTCGGGTGAGACCTGAGTGGAGAAAATGTTAAACCACTGCTGCTGTGGCGAAAGTCCCAGGGAGTCACAAAGAGATGCTCACTAAGTGCTGGGCTGTAGTGACGGACAAGTCATCTGAGATCACACAGTATGGCTCTGTGCAAGAGACCTCACTGTCATTGTTTCTTGGCAGCCTCAGCTGAGGTTCCTGTGGATTGTGAAAGGTAGAGGTGCACTCTGGCCAGCATACGAGGAGAGAGGAATTTATAGGAAAGACATGGGGGTATTTCAGCAGAAGCCAGGAGAAGCGAGGGAGGCAGGGCAGTGCTTGGGGACTTGGCATCAAGAAGTCAGAGATTCTTTCTCCCAAGTTCTGCCATTGATCAGGATCGAGTCAAGGCCTCCATTCCAGATGTCAAGTTCCTGGGAGATGGAATGATGGGCCCAGCCTAGGCTACGTGTTCACTCCTAGACAATCAGCTATAGCCAGGGCACAAGGGCTCACTGGCAGCCCATCTCTGTGTACTGGTGACAGTTTCAAAGAACAGGGATCACAGTGAGTCTGACCAACACACCAAGAAGGGTTCATTCTCCCCTAATAACACTTGGCATCCTAGCTGTGGGAATGGACAAAACCAACTTCTGGATCTCCAGGACTGTACATTGTGAAGGCAGGCATGGCCGACTGACCATCATCAGTCAGGAGGGGAGGAAAGTCGCACGGTCAGAGATGACTGAGAATAAGGAGAGTACTGGTAAGGACAGCAAACCCCTACACAGTGCTTACATGTATCACCCCCACAACCTTATAAACTAGTATTATGATCCCCATTCTTCAGATGAGGAAACTGAGTTGTTAGGTGACTTACCCAAGGTCACACAAACCCAGTCAAGCTCCAGCATCTGTGTTCCTGTCTTCTGAATCACTATACTTGTCTCAAAATATACAAAGTCCTGGTGAAGCTTAGAGAGTGGGGTACAGGAAAATCAGGAAGTAACGGGGATATGGTGGGAACTGTCTCTGAATTCAAAGTCTTGGAGGGAGAGCAGGTCTAACGGATGAAGACCTGTGCTGTTGGGTGGCTGAGGTATTAAGAAAGAGGACACGAGAAGTTTGAATCCACATGACCCCATGAAATGATCCTTTTTATAACTGACCTGCAATTATATCACTATCTGAACAGTTCTGCTGAAACACTATTGATGAACTCTGTTTTGCTGTTTGACTTTTTGGTGTTCGTAAGACTATAAGCTCCTGTGGGCAGGAACCACCCCAGTTGGTGCCCTATAAATGTTCTATTGGTGGATCTAAGTGGAGAGTTTAGGCCAGGCATGGTAGCTCACGCCTGCAATCCCAGCACTTTGGAAGGCCGAGGTGGGCAGTTGCTTGATGCCAGGAGTTCAAGACCAGCCTGGGTAACATGGTGAAACCTCATCTCTACAAAACACACAAAAATTAGCCAGGCGTGGGCTCGGTGGGAGGATTGCTTGCACCTGACAGGTGGAGGCTGCAGTGAGCCACGATCACACCACTGCCCTCCAGCTGAGTGACAGAGCAAGACCCTGTCTCAGTAAATAAATAAATAAATAAATAAATAAATAAATAAATAATTTTCCTCTACCTTCACTGACTGGTGTGGAGTATTTAGCCTGATGTAAGAAAAATGTACTAACCAAGAAAGTTTCTCCCCTTCATATTCTATCTTCCCTTAGTGTTTTCTTACTGTCCCTGCAGTGATTTGCTGCCACTGAGACTGTGATTTAATTATGCAAAGTGTGACAGATCATTTGAAAGTTATTAGTTGCTGAGGAAGCACATTTATGATGTGGAAAAAAAAAGTCTTTGCATTTTGCTAAGTTTCACATCCTCTCTGAACACTTTTTAGAAGGAAATGACTTAAATTTTAAATGATTACCCTGCAGATTTATGAAATATTTCAATGAGATGTGACAATGAGAATGTGCTCAACTGTCTCCAGTGGTAAAAAGAAAGAAACCCTGATTCTATGACTGATGCAAGACATGTGAGTTCCTCACCTGCTGTCAGCATCCAGGCTGTATCCACCATGTCTCTTTCACACCTCGGAAGAACGGTAAGGTAATCCTGCCTGCCCTCTGGCCAACTGTGCTGGGAGGTATACACACTCTGGGCCTCAAACAACTCTTGGGTTAAAAAGACCAGAGCTAAGTCTATATGTGGTAAGGGAATCAGGCTATGAGTATCTGTTGATAGAACCATCCTCCCAGTTGTCATGCTATAATCAGAAGTGCTGGAATACTTTGTCCTCAATGTGCCTCCTAGCACATCAGCCTCACCTGGAAGCTTCTTCAAAATGCAGGGTCTCAAGCCCTGCCCCAGACCTACTGAAGCAGAATGCACATTTAACAAGATCCCCAGGGCACTCCTATGCACATTAAAGTCTAGGAAGCACTGGCAAACACAGTGATCAGTCAAGAGTTCCTCAAGAGCAGGTTCTGTGTCCATTTGTCCATGTATCTCCCACGCTCAGAACAGTTAGTGGGAGCTCAGTTGTTATTTGTTGTATTAAAATGAGTGGTTTATATGCAAAGGTACACACCTATGAAAGTGTTGGGGCTATGGAAGAATGTAGAGTGGCTGGAGTATACAAGAAAGCAAGGAAGTCTCTTTCATTCATTCCTTTGACTGGTGTTTCCTGAGTGCCTGTGATGTGCCCAGTAATTTTTGTGTGTATTTTTATTTCTTTTTAAATTTTTCTTTAATTTTTAATTTTTGTGGGCATGCCTAGTATTGTTGTAGGCACTAGGGGCACAGTGACAACCAAGGCGCCCCAGTGTCTGTCCTCATGGAACTTATCTGCCTGGGTATGCAATAAACTAGCCTAAGAACTGCTCTTCGAACCAAAGGTGAATAGGATCTTTTGGTTATTGGTTGCTGGAAACTTAACTGCTTTTGGCTAAAAATTAAGATATCTCCATTATTTTTCTGTTCATCCATTCTTCCTCAGTTGTTTCTCTCTCTGTCTCTCACTCTCTACCTGTAAGAATGGACAGAGGCATGATTTTCAGTCATTATTCTTATTGGCAGCAATGCCACATCTCAGTTGTATTAAAAGTCTAAGTCAGGAGATTAGAATGGCTCTTTCGTGCTTTTAATGCTTCCCAGCTTCATGGCTTTAAGACTCACTGCCTGTGCCAGTTGTGTTTCCTGCAGAATGCAGACCACTCTCAGTTGTGCTATCTCACGGTATTCCTTCTGTAACAGTTGGGTGTCTGACAACCACAAGACAGGAAAAATTTACTTCCAAATGTCCTTTCCTTTTTTCCACCTTAAATTACAAATCTTGAAACTCTGAAACATGAGGCTTGAATTGATCCACTATATTTTTCATGTTGAATGTGTGTCACTCTTTTCATCACTCATCAAGTATTTTTGGATTATCTACTATATGCTAGGCACTGTGGATATAAGAAAAGGATTAGCTTTATAAATTAGGAATGTAGTAAAAATTGAGTTTGATGTCTTTAGTCTTAGAAGCAGAGAGCTGGCCAGGCACAGTGGCTCAGGCCTGTAATCCCAGCACTTTGGGAGGCTGAGGCGGGTGGATCACCCAAGGTCAGGAGTTCGAGACCAGCCTGGCCAACATGGTGAAACCCTGTCTCTACTAAAATTACAAAAATTAGCTTGGCGTGGTTGTGGGCACCTGTAATCCCAGCTACTTGGGAGGCTGAGGCAGGATAACTGAATTGCTTGAACCCGGGAAGCGGAGGTTGCAGTGAGCCAAGATCACACCATCGCACTCCAGCCTCGGTGACAAAGCGAGACTCGGCCTCAAAAAACAAAACAAAACAAAAAAAAGCGGAGAGCCACTAAAATAGAAGTATTATGGGATATATTTTAGAGCAATGTATCACCATTTAATAAACTGTGTTCCTCCATTCAGTAGACTACTATATAGTCACTAAATTAAGAATATTAAATATTAATATTTAATAACATGCAAAGATAATCCTGATATATAAGCCTCAGGAGTTAAAAATAACACGTACAGCCATGAACTCATTTTTGTTTAAAATAACAAATGTAAAATATCTGGAGGGAAATACATCAAAATGTTATGAGTATTTATCACTGCATGATGGGGTAATGAGGGTTATTTATCAGGATTACATGTTCACTTTTGTTATCATAAGGAAAATAAAAAATATATCTAAAAAAATACATCGTCCTTCTCCCTGAGCCCTGGAATCTCTGAGACCCCTAAGGGATGAACTGCAGTGAAGCTGTCTTGGAGCTTAAAGAATTTCTGGGCTCCACGCATTGGTTCAGAAGTGGATCCAGCATCAATAATTGAGTTTAAATGATGGCTTCTTCCTTCCCTTACAGCTCTCACCTCAACCTTGGTTTTGCCCCGAAAAAAACAGGACTATTAATAATACTCTAGTGGACATTTCTGCCTGCCCAGCAATCTTTTGCACAGCCTTCCTATGTTTGGGGAATTTCACACATTGTGAAATTCCCACACTTCCCCGAGATGCCATCAGAACTTACTTTTCTTTTTTTTTTTTTTTTTTTTTTGACGGAGTCTCGCTCTGTCGCCCAGGCTGGAGTGCAGTGGCCGGATCTCAGCTCACTGCAAGCTTCGCTCCCGGGTTTACACACATTCTCCTGCCTCAGCCTCCCATGTAGCTGGGACTACAGGCGCCCACCACCTCGGCCCGGAATTTTTTGTATTTTTAGTAGAGACGGGCTTTCACCGTGTTAGCCAGGATGGTCTCGATCTCCTGACCTCGTGATCCGCCCGTCTCAGCCTCCCAAAGTGCTGGGATTACAGGCTTGAGCCACCGCACCCGGCTAGAACTTACTTTTCTAGTCTCTTGCTTTTCTAGGAGCTCCGAGCCTGTGTCCGCCACTGTGGGAGGTTCCCCCACAAGGCTCTGATGTGGAAGACAGTTCTGTAAGAACTCCTCTAGAAAGGTGCTGGAGAAGACATCGAGCTTTGGGGAGCTAACTAACATCCTTAAATAAATTTCTTTTCTGCTTGAACTGGCTAGCTAGAGGGGTTTCTGTTGTTTGCAACTGAGAACCCTGGCAGAGCTATCTATTCAGATGGTTTTCATTAATTTATGTCAGTGATGCTCAAACTTTCTAGTTTCAGGATCTCTTTACTGGCTTAAAAAATTATCATGAACTCTGAAAAGTTTTTGTTTAGATAGGCTATATTTATCGATATTTACCATATTTTATCTTAAGATTTAAGAAAGTATGTATCTAGTAATTCCTTTACAAACAACAATAATAAACCTATTTCACATCAACAGAAATAATATAATTTTATGAAAAATGTTTCTAAAACAAAAAAAGTAGTGAGAAGTATAACATTAATTATTTTTGCCAATCTATTTGATGTCTGAATAAGTAGAAGTCAGTTCAATTTTCATATCTTCTAAATTTAGTCTGTTGCAATGTTTTGTTGCTTTGGTTGACATATATAAAAAAAATCCGGTCTTACACAAATGTTACTAGCTTTTCAGATAATTCCAGATAATTCTTCTTTGATATTACACCAAAACTTGAAAAGTAGCACTTTCTTGTTAGTTGCAATGTGGAATCTAAAACCATTATCAATGAACTTTTCATACTCTGTTACATTACAATGTATTGGTATCTCTTTCACTTTGATGAGATCACTTACCCACACACAATTTCGAAACATCATACATTGGTCATGTGGAAAATATACTTTCAACATTTTATTATAGGATATTTAAAAATTATATCCATTACTGTTATCTCCAATTTCATCAATTCAACCAGTCCTTTTCCTCAAGACAAATGTCATACTGTCATGCAGAAGTGCTTTGTGCAGGAATACAGGCACAGAGGAAAGGCCATGTGAGGACACAGGGAGAAGGTGGCCCTCTGAAATCCAGGAAGAGAGGCCTGACCAGAAACTTGCCCTGCTGACACGCTGAGCATGGACTTCCAGCCTCCAAAACTGTAAGAAAATAAGTTACCATTGTTCAAGCCACCCAGTCTGTGGTATTATGCTGTGGCAGTCCAAGCTGACTGAAACAGCCACACAAAAGCTGGGAGCAGGCTTCCAGCCTGACTCACTCTATCCATGCGGTCCCACACTCACTTGCTTTCATATATAGTAAGGGTTCTCCTCACCAGTCAGGCAGTTACCTGACATTGTATTATTTAGGATGCTTTTAGGCACAAGGAATATAAAAGTGTCTTAAACTGACAGAAACCTAACCAAAACTGTCTGGAACTAAAAGAACAAGAAGTCCAAAGGCGGGTGCCTCCAGGATTGTAATTCAGAGGCTCACAGAGACCCAAGGGTTTCCCGTTTTCCATCTTTCTATTATCCTGCCCTCTGGATGTGATTATCCCACACGATGGCAAAGTGGGTGCAGAAGTTCCAGGCATCAGAAGCCGACTGTAAGATGTCTAGCAAAAAAGAGGGATGCTCTCATCCAGTTATCTCTCTTATGAGCAAGAACACTGTTTTCCAGATGCCTCGCACATCCACCCTCAACTTTCTCTCAAGTTTCATTGGCTGAGACCCGGACATATGGCCAAGTGGACGCCAATCTTCAGCAAGAGGAATGAAACCACCAAACAAGCCTCCCCTCCAGGGTCTGGGTGGGTGGGCCCAGCCTCCTATGATAAATGATCCAAAGGGGAAACGAAGGGCTGTTTTCGTCATCCTCTGGCTCCTGGTATAAATTTGCGATCATGTTTTAAGCTTGTAATTGTGCCAGAAGTCTGCTACTATGTCCCTGAACTTGGACCTTTGGTCAATAAAGTATAAATGTTATGATGCAAATCCTAACAGATACTCTTCGTGTCCCATCCACATCCCTCAGACCCCACCATTTCTGGGTGCTCCCCAAAATACAGATGACTTTCCGCTGCCAGTACCTCTCCTCAGAATTAACAACCCCTCCTCAATGCCTTCAACCAATGACTGACAGGAGTTGGTGTCTAAATGTCCCAGTGTGCTCACCTCTGGAGGTCTAATTATGGGCTATGTCCTAGCCCATTTCCTAGACTTGGCTCCAGCTGCCCACTGGGGCAGCTGGCTTACTCAACGCACCTTTTACT